ATGGGTAGGTGGGTGTTTGTATTGGTGGGTGGGTGTGTGGCCGAGTGGATGGGTAGGCAGGGGAGTGGGTAGGTGGGTGTATGGGTAGGTAGGTGAGTGTGCGCGTAGGCGAGTAGGTACGTGGATGGGTGGGTGTTTAGGTGAGCAGTCGTATCGTGTTGATTTGAAGCTTTCGTGACTGCAGGAATCCATACTCTTTGGTTCTTTCGGTAAAAGTCACGTAGGTAGAAAAATAAAAAAAATAAAAATCACGACTGTTTCGAACGCAACACAAGCGCTCGTCTTCAGTTAAAAATCGCGACGAGGGAGCTGCACGAAGCAGACGTCGCAGCTGTAGCGATTTTCACCTGAAGACGGGGGCTTCTGTTGCGTTCGAAACAGTCGTGATTTAAATTTCGATTTAAAGCTTTCGTGACTGCAGGGATTCATCTTCTTGGTTCTTTCGGTAAAGTCACGTAGAATGGAAATAATAAAATAATAAAAATAAAACATTATTATGTTTTATTCTTATTATTTTATTATTTCCATTCCACTTGACTTTACCGAAAGAACCAAGAAGATTAAATAATAAAATAATATAATAAAAATAAAACATAATTATTATGTTTTATTCTTATTATTTTATTATTTCCATTCTACGTGACTTTACCGAAAGAACCAAGAAGATGAATCCCTGCAGTCACGAAAGTTTTAAATCGAAATATTATTGTTATTTTTGATTATTATTATTATTATTTTAAAGGCCATTTAACACATGAAGGCACGGTCCCCTGTCACGTATTCCATTCTTATTATTGCTATCTCAACATTGAGGTATTTGTCAATGTACTTTATTATTGGATGAAGTTCCCTACCGGTTGTGTGGATTGTACGACCATACTTCACCACGCTGGTGTGCGTGTGTTCATGAAGGCCTTTTTGCGTCACCCCGCCACCCACCCACCCACCCGATCTGGACAAGAGGCTTGTGAGAGGCACGCAGCCCCGGCGGAGTAACTGCGGTACAGAATCAGAATATTGATTCATGCTGGAGGAATCCGATGAGCTATAAAGATCTTCTTCCCAGTCATGTCCAGTCACCGGATAGAAGCCCTCCGTATCAGCCACGTGTCCAGCGAGACGTGTAACAACAACACGTGCACCCACGCGCACTGACCGACGTGGTGAAGTATGGTCAACCCCCCCCACCCACCCCCTACCTCCCCGATTACACTGGTCAACAACAACAAAAAATTCTGGCCTGGACTTTTGCAGCTGTTTTAGACTAATTTCAGGGTGCTGATTCCTAATCTGATCTCATATTTGCTCTATCACATCTCATTTTAATGCTATCGGCATACCCCATCTTCATTGATTTTACCCGAAATTAACTCTGTCACTTATGATTGCAAGTTGTTGCGTGTCGGTGACTGCTTTAGTGTTAAAAAATGGTGCTGTATTTTTAGGATAGTGTTTATAATATTATTTTATGTAGATATCCACATTTATTTAATATTTTTCTTCCGCAGTTTTTATTGAAAATGCAATATTTGATATCTCAACAACCTGATATGATAGACAAAAAATGATGCCGGATTTGTAATCAGCACCCCAAAATAACCTTAAACCCGTTGGAATACCTTACGCCAGAAAAAAGTGTGTTGACCAGTGTAAACTACGGCGCTTTAAACCACAACTGCCAGTGAATTCTTGATCCACCGCCCGGGCGATCGACTGAGAATGTGAACGAGCAGCTGCGTGGACCGCCAGGCATCACCGGGGTACGTCCAACCGATAGAGACGGAGCGCTGAAATCAATCCGCGTGGCAGGAGGTGCCAGGTGGATTTGCAGCGTCTCGCGCTAACAGGCAGCGCGCAAACAGCACGCTGACCCAGCAACAGCAGCACGCGATCGTGATCATCACCATCATCACCCGCCGCGTCTGTCTGTCTGTGTGCGTGGGTGGAGGAGGGGTAGCTACGAACCCGGCGGCCCACGACTCCCTTCTAACGGCCACCAACACCAGTGACGATCATCTGAACCCGGTCGTGCGCCTCCACTAGGTCGACTCAGCCTCAAATGGGTGCCTGACGCGATGTGTGAACTTTTACACCACTCGGGAGACAAAGGCGGCCGGACGTGGCGATGGTCACCCGCCCTCTATTGTGCGGCCTTCATAGGAGCTGCTTGCTAGCAGCACTTTGCCCCGACAGTCTGTTTAGGCTACACGGGGGATCTTTGTCTTTGTGAGCAGCGCACGTGTCCATGCTGTTGCCACCTTCTCGATCGTCCACACAAACCCGGACAAGAGGTCTTGGTGAGCACGATGGGGTTTTTTGGTCCAATACTAAAATAAACTATTTTTATTTTAGCAGCTAAGGCGCACTCAGTTATATACATACGTAGCGTATTTCTTTGAAGCGACCAGGCCACAAATGGTAGGACAACGATGTGGCTTATCATCATGGGGGAATTTACATCAGGCAAGCACTCTAAACGGGTGATATTAAATGTGGAACGGAAAAGACGGATACGCGCAAACTACAAATATACAGCAGCAGGCGTCAGAGTTGGGATCTAACCGACGACCTCCTGTGTACCAAGCGAGGTAGTTAACATCTCCTAGCCACTGTAGCGCCACTGTGCGGCAAACCGCAATCAAGTTCAACGCAGCAACGCCAGTGCCACATCTCGCTACAAATCAATTCCCGCTGCCACCCGACACAGAGTTCGCGATTCCCGAACCGTACCGGGTCAAACCGGGACAGGTGGCAACCCTTGATAGCAGCGTCGTGAAATCTCAGGATTGTGTGGAACGCCTTCCTTGAACCAGCAGTGGATCGTGCATCGCTCACGGTGGTGAAGACGGTGGTGGTGATGTCGGGTGGCGGAGGGTCTGACGACACTCATCAGGCGAGATCGCGTTTCAAGTTTGTTTTGTCAAATCGTGTGAGAACCTACGATACCCAGATGGGCGTCCCAATACCGTAACGAATCTCTGGGCATCAGAATCACGATCTTGATTTATCACGGAGAAATCCGATGATCTGTGAAGCCTCTTTTTTTCACAGATCTTCAGTCGGGGCGAATCAGAAAGTTCGTCTTCCAGTATGGGGCTATTATTGCCGCTGTGTGAGTCGTCTAGCCTAGGGGCACCCCCAGTGGCAGCTGCCCCTGGGAATCAGTCTTCCAGTCGGGAGTGATGAGTGCCGCTGTGTGTGTGTGTAGTCCAGATTGAGCCATTCGTCTTTTCAAATCTGGGCCACTGAAGTGGGCACACGACTGCCTGCCTCTTGCAAACGACGTCTCGTGACCTTTCACGTTCGCTGTGCGGCTGAAGCAGATGGCGCAGAGACGTAATTGCCGTAGTATCATCATCACGATCAGCATCATCATGATCACCACCGTCACGATTGTCATCACGATCATCATCACGATCATCATTATCACGGTCATCATCATCATCATCACGATCATCATCACGATCAGCATCATCCTGATCACCACCATCACGATCATCATCATCACGATCAGCATCATCATGATCATCATCGACATCTCCACCATCATCATCACGATCATCATCAACATCATCACGATCACCATCATCACGATCATCATCATGATCATCATCATGATCACCACCATCACGATCATCATCACGATCATCATCACGATCAGCATCATCACGATCATCATTATCACGGTCATCATCACGATCATCATCATCATCATCCAAACCATCATCATCACGACCATCGTCACGATCAGCATCATCATGAACACCATCATCATCACAACCATCATCATCACGATCATCGTCACGATCATCATCATCACAACCATCATCACGACCATCGTCACGATCATCATCATCATCATCACGATCACGATCATCGTCACAATCATCATCATCATCGCGATCGGAATCATCAGAATCTTTATTCAGACTGCAGGAGGAATCCGATGAGCTATGAAGCTCTGTTTCACTGGTGTCTAGCAGGGACGGGTCAGCGAGTTACAGCAACAAACAAAACAACAACCCCCCGTTAGGAGTGCAGAGTGGAGGAAAAGTAAGCAAGTTAATAAACACAAATAACAAATAAAGTATAAACATTGCAGAAGTACATACATTGCACCTCCGATGGCCAGGGTTGACTACGTACGGTGCGAACGAAGTTCAACACACACACACACACCTTCCTGTCGATTCTTCAACACTTAACAGAAAGCTCCTACGTCAGCAGTCATCACGCTGTGTCTGTTTCACACCTGATGATGGTTGCTTGTGTTGCGATCGAAACGTCGTGATCTATTGTTTTTTTCTACCCACTTGACTTTACCGAAAGAACCAGACAGTATGGATTCCTGCAGTCACGAAAGCTTCAAATCAACACTTAAAAGCAAGCTTGGGGCACGGCAGCAAAACAACAACAACAGCCACGTACCGCACTAAGACAACAACAACAACACACACACAAATATTAAATATAGGCTGCCAAGCTTGGTGGTGTTCATTCAGACGCTGTCTTTCCGACAGACATGTTCTTCACCTGAGGACGGCTGCTTGCGTTGTGGCCGAAACGTCGTGAGAATTGTATTATTTTATTATATTTTATTTTTATTATTTTATTACTTCCCTTCTACGTGACTTTACCGAAAGAACCAAGAAGATGAATCCCTGCAGTCACGAAAGCTTTAAATCGCAATTTAACACACACACAGTCGCCTTGATTTAACTACAACAACAACAACAACAGCCACGGACCGCACCAAGACAACACCAACAACAACAACACACAGTCCCTTGATTTAACAACAACAACAACAGCCCGCACCAAGACAACAACACCAACAACAACAACACACACAGTCCCTTGATTTAACAACAACAACAGCCCGCACCAAGACAACACCAACAACACCAACAACACAGTCCCTTGTTTTAACAACAACAACAACATATACAATCGAACCAATCGATCAAGGGGACGCGTCCTTTCGCCGTGCGCGCGTGCAGGTACGGTGGCGTGGATCTGAGCGCGGGCACGCGTCGCAAGAACGCGACGCGCGAGACGACGGCGACGCTCAAGGCGTGGCTCTACGAACATCGCAAGAACCCGTACCCCACCAAGGGCGAGAAGATCATGCTGGCCATCATCACCAAGATGACCCTGACGCAGGTCTCCACGTGGTTCGCCAACGCTCGCCGGCGTCTCAAGAAGGAGAACAAGATGACGTGGTCGCCGCGGAGCCGGCCCGGCGATGAGAGTGGAGGGAAAGATGAATGCCGGAGGGATGTGGACCGCGAACAGCAGCAGCAGGAGGAGGAGGAGGATGAGGAACAGGAGGCTGCTGCTGCTGCTGCGGCGGTGGTGGTGGACAAGAGAGGAGTCGTGAAGTGTTTTGTGTCAGGTGAGTGAGTGATTGTGTCTGTGTGTGGCCACCCACCCCTCGTGTGCCGTTCCGGCCTTCATAGGTGCTCGCTAACAGCACTTGCCGCTGCAGCCTAAGGCTATACGGGGCATCTTTGTCTGTGTGTGTGGCCACCCACCCCTCGTGTGCCGTTCCGGCCTTCATAGGTGCTCGCTAACAGCACTTGCCGCTGCAGCCTAAGGCTATACGGGGCATCTTTGTCTGTGTGTGTGGCCACCCACCCCTCGTGTGCCGTTCCGGCCTTCATAGGTGCTCGCTAACAGAACTTGCCGCTGCAGCCTAAGGCTATACGGGGGATCTTTGTCTGTGTGTGTGGCCACCCACCCCTCGTGTGCCGTTCCGGCCTTCATAGGTGCTCGCTAACAGAACTTGCCGCTGCAGCCTAAGGCTATACGGGGGATCTTTGTCTGTGTGTGTGGCCACCCACCCCTCGTGTGCCGTTCCGGCCTTCATAGGTGCTCGCTAACAGAACTTGCCGCTGCAGCCTAAGGCTATACGGGGCATCTTTGTCTGTGTGTGTGGCCACCCACTCCCTCGTGTGCCGTTCCGGCCTTCATAGGTGCTCGCTAACAGCACTTGCCGCTGCAGCCTAAGGCTATACGGGGCATCTTTGTCTGTGTGTGTGGCCACCCACTCCCTCGTGTGCCGTTCCGGCCTTCATAGGTGCTCGCTAACAGAACTTGCCGCTGCAGCCTAAGGCTATACGGGGCATCTTTGTCTGTGTGTGTGGCCACCCACCCCTCGTGTGCCGTTCCGGCCTTAATAGGTGCTCGCTAACAAAACTTGCCGCTGCAGCCTAAGGCTATACGGGGCATCTTTGTCTGTGTGTGTGGCCACCCACTCCCTCGTGTGCCGTTCCGGCCTTCATAGGTGCTCGCTAACAGCACTTGCCGCTGCAGCCTAAGGCTATACGGGGCATCTTTGTCTGTGTGTGTGGCCACCCACTCCCTCGTGTGCCGTTCCGGCCTTCATAGGTGCTCGCTAACAGAACTTGCCGCTGCAGCCTAAGGCTATACGGGGCATCTTTGTCTGTGTGTGTGGCCACTCACCCCCTCGGCCTTCATAGGTGCTCGCTAACAGCACTTGGCCCTACAGCCTAAGGCTATACGGGGGGATCTTTGTCTGTGTCTGTGGGTCGCCGCAGTGCAGCGGTTAGCACGCTGCGCTACGAACCCGGCGACCCGAGTTCGATTCCCGCTCAAGGCCGACACCCGTGACGATGATCTGAACCGATGCTGGGCCTCCCCTAGGTCGACTCAGCCTCAAATGAGTACCTGGTGCGGTGTGTAAAATCATCGCCACTGGGGAGACAAAGGAGGCCGGGCGTGGTGTTGGCCACCCACCTCCTCGTGTACCGTGCCGGCCTTCATAGGTGCTCGCTAACAGCACTTGCCCCAACAGTCTGTTAAGGCTACACGGGGGATCTTTGTGTGGGTAATTCTAGATTTGAAGCTTTCGTGACTGCAAGGATTCATACTCTTAGGTTTTTTTTCGGTAAAGTCACGTAGGTAAAACATAAAATTAAAAGTTAATAAAAGTAATGATGGGAATAAAATAAAATAATAAATCACGACGTTTCGGAGGCAACACAAGTCTCCGTCATCAGGTGGGACCGTCACAGCTAAAATTACTGCATCAAGTGTGTGGGCATGCAAGTGTGTGTGGGTATGCAGGTGTGTGGGTGTGCAGGTGCTATGGGTGTGTGGGTGTGCAGGTGTGTGTGGGTATGCAGGTGTGTGTGGGTATGCAGGTGTGCAGGTGTGCAGGTGTACAGGTGTGTGTGTGCAGGTGTATGGGTGTGTGGGTGTGCAGGTGGGTGTGGGTATGCAGGTGTGTGTGGGTATGCAGGTGTGTGTGGGTTTCTGATTTGCAGTGCGTACGTGTTGGGCGGTGGCGCAGTGGTTAGCGAACCAGACGACGAACTCAAAGACCCGACCCAGGATGAGAATGATGGCGATAATTGCAATTTATGGGGCAGAATAAGGAGCTGGTCATGACGATGATGATAGTGACATGACGATGATTTGAATAACAACGGTGGTGACTATGACTATGCAAACGACGATCATCATTAGGATTGTATATCGTCAAACTGTTAGGTCAAGCTGATACCTCATGAACCCAAACTCCAGTCCTCTCGGCCCCACCACCCCCACCATGCTTCCTCCGTCTTTACGCGGTCACCAATTTGCTCCCCATTTCAGCTCGTGCCAGGCTTCACGCGCCCGATGATTGGTCAACACGATCCAATGTGCTCGCGCTCAGCAATTAACGCTGACTGCGTTAACGTTGCCGATTCTCGTTCAGATTGAGACCTCGGTGTGCGTGGTGTACACGTGTTGCGTGTGTCTGTGTGTGTATACCGTGTGTGTATGTCTACACGTGTACTGTGTGCGTATGTGTACACGTGTGTGTGTCCACGTGTGTGTGTACACGCGTTTACCGTATGTCTGTGTGTACCATGTGTGTATGTGTACACGTGTGTGTGTGTGTGTTTACCTATGTCTGTGTGCACCGTGTGTGTATATGTACACGTGTGTGTGTGCATTTACCGTATGTCTGTGTGTACCGTGTGTGTATGTGTACACATGTACCGTATGTGTGTGTACATGTGTTCCGTGTTTGTGTGTACACGTGTAATGTGTGTGATTGTGTACACGTGTGTGTGTAAGCATTTACTGTATGTCTTGTGTACCGTGTGTGTGTGTACACGTGTACTGTGAGTGTGTGTACACGTGTACTGTGTGTGTGCACACGTGTACTGTGTGTGTGTGTACACGTGTACTGTGTGTACACGTGTTCTGTGTGTGTACACGTGTTCTGTGTGTGTACACGTGTACACGTGTCACTGTGTGTGTACACGTGTACTGTGTGTGTACACGTGTACTGTGTGTGTACACGTGTACTGTGTGTGATTGTGTACACGTGTCACTGTGTGATTGTGTACACGTGTTCACTGTGTGTGTGTCTACGTGTACTGTGCGTGTCCACGTGTACTGTGTGTGTGTGTACACGTGTACTGTGTGTGATTGTGTCCACGCGTTCCACGTGTTCCCACCACGTGACGCAGACAGCGCGCCACGTGGGACGAGTTTAACAATCATCAGGCGCGTTCAGCCGCAAACGAGTTGATTTGTATTTGAGAGCGGAGTAACTTAGTAGACGCAGGACAGAAGGAGCGCAGTGGTGGGTGACCCGCGAGGACTCTGACCATGATGATGACGATGATGATAACGCTAATATGCGAATTGTGTTCTGACATTCATAAATCAGAATATGTATTTAGAGTGGAGGGATCCGATGAGCTGTGAAGCTCTTTGTCAGAATATTACGGCAACAAACGATACAAAAAAACACGATAGCAGTGCACAGTCTAGGAAAGGTAAGCACAAAAATAACACACTTTTATTTATTTTACTAGATAAAGCCGACTGAATTATCAGCTTCTTTTTCGCAAGCGAACTGGCCACAAATGACAGCCCCTACCAAACACGCTTCGAAACCACTACCCTGAAAAATGAGAAAATAAAAAAATCACGACGTTTCATACCAAAATAATAATTTAGAAAAATTCACCGCGTTCCAAACACTTCATTTCCTTGAACTTTCACCTATGCATCCCTTCTGTTTCCCCTACCACTCCCTCCCCCACTCCCTCGCACCCCCCTCTGCCCACTACCCCCTCCTCTACCCCCTCGTCGCCCTACCCCCTCGGTAACATCAATTCCCTGCCCAGCAGAGAGACATTCCTCCGTTCTTATGACAGCCTTCTCCGGGCCAAGGAAGTGATTACGAACTCGCCGCTAATCGCTTTAGATATAAGGAGACATCAAACAGAACTCACACACACGTGTGTACACACACACATAAACATACACATACATGTGTGTACCATACACACGCAAAGATCTCCCGTGTAGCCTTAACAGACTGTTGGGGCAAGTGCTGTTAGCGAGCACCTATAAAGGCCGGCACGGCACACGAGGGAGTGGGTGGGTGGCCAGCACCAAGCCCGGCCGCCTTTGTCTCCCTAGTGGCGATGTTTGCACACCGCACCAGGTACTCATTTGAGGCTGAGTCGACCTAGGGGAGGCCCAGGACCGGTTCAGATAATCGTCACTGGTGTTGGCCGTGAGCGGGATTCGAACGGGATCGTAGGGCAGCGCGCTAACCGCTACACTACCGCTCCCCACAAATGCACACACACACACCCTACACACACACACCATACACACACACACATCCTACACACACACACACCCTACACACACACCCTACACACACACACACACACCCTACACACACACACCCTACACACACACACCCTACACAAACACACCCTACACACACACACCCTACACACACACACCATACACACACACACACCCTACACACACACACACCCTACACACACACCCTGCACACACACACACCCTACACACACACCATACACACACACACACCATACACACGCACACCCTACACACACACACACCCTACACACACACACCCTACACACACACACACACACCACACACACACCCTACACACACACACACCCTAAACACACACACACTACACACACACGCACCCTACACACACACACCCTACACACACTCACACCCTACACACACACCCTACACACACACCCTACATACACCCTACACACACACACCCTACACACACACACACACACGCGCATTTACATGTACCAACAAGACAAAGATCCCCCGTATAGCCTCAGACTATTGGGGAAAGTGGCGTCATCGAGCCCCTCCTCAAGCCAAAGTGTTCGGCATACGAAGCGGTGGGGTGTGCAGAACGGCGCCCGGCCGCCTTTGTCTCTCCCCGTGTTGATGTCTAAACGTTGCGCTTTGAGGGCGAATGTGCGCGTAACAGCCTTCACACACACCCTACACACACACACCCTACACACACACACACCCTACACACACACACACACCCTACACACACACACACCCTACACCCTACACACACACCCTACACACACACACACACCCTACACACACACACCCTACACACACACACACCCTACACACACGCACACACCCTACACACACACACGCACACACCCGGCCCACGTGACGCTAAGGGGTCAAGGTCAGGAGGTCGTAGACGGCATCACACCACGCCATCGCTTCCTTCCTTCTGCCAGGTCCCGTAGTCATTAGACGCATGCGTCAGAGCATCGCCACGACCACGACGCAGTGGGTACTTTCTCGAGGACACACCTGCCTGCCTGCGTGTGTGTGTGTGTGTTTAGACAAAGGGGGTCGGGCGTGGTGCTGGCCACCCACCCCCTCGTGTACCGTTCCGGCCTTCATAGGTGCTCGCTAACAGCACTTGCCCCTACAGTCTGTGAAGGCTATACGGGGGATCTTTGTCTTTGTGTTTAGACAAAGGCGGTCGGGCGTGGTGCTGGCCACCCACCCCCTCGTGTACCGTTCCGGCCTTCATAGGTGCTCGCTAACAGCACTTGCCCCTACAGTCTGTTAAGGCTATACGGGGGATCTTTGTCTTTGTGTTTAGACAAAGGCGGTCGGGCGTGGTGCTGGCCACCCACCCCCTCGTGTACCGTTCCGGCCTTCATAGGTGCTCGCTAACAGCACTTGCCCCTACAGTCTGTTAAGGCTATACGGGGGATCTTTGTCTTTGTTTAGACTTAAAACGTCCTGTGAGTGCAGGAATTCATATCCTTGGTTGTGTCGGTAAAGTCGCGTAGATAGAAGGCAAACATCGAAATTGAAAGCAACAAAAAACCCCCCACGACGTTTCGATCGCAACACAAGCGGCCTTCTTCAGGTGGAGAGAAAATAAAAGAGAGAAGAGCGCTTGTGTTGTGTTGCGATCGAAACGTCGTGGGGTTTTTTTTTTGCTTTTAATTTCGATTTTTGTTTAATATCCACGTGACTTTACCGAAAGAACCAATAATTACTAAACGTGTTGTTTATATATATATCTCGCGGTTGCCGATTCATAAAGCCCAAAGCCCCCGCTCCGCCCTTAAACAAAGCGGCCAGCAACAAAAAGCCTCTATCGGAAGTGAATGGCTTCTTGAATTGAGCGCGTTTACACCGCGACGTATCAACGCGCTTCTTGGGGAGGGTGAATGAGTGACGCCTGAAGGGACAATTCACGACTCTTTCCTTCCATCTGATCCATCCGCGCGACAAAAAATCAATAATAATAATACGTAAGTTATTGGGTTTTTGTTTTGTTGCACGTCCCTTCTGAGAGTGCGTAATTTCAACGACACTGGCTTTGTAAGAACTTTGCAAAAAGAGATGGTGATGATGATGAGAGGAGGGGATTGCAAAGTAGATCGGTGCGGGGGAAATAGCAGAACGAGAAATGTCGTGACGTGCAATGTGGTGAGCGAGTGGGTGAGTGGGTGAGTTGGTGAGTTAGTGAGTGAGTTAGTGAGTGGGTGAGTGGGTGAGTTGGTGAGTGGGTGAGTTAGTGAGTGGGCGAATGAGTGGGTGAATGAGTGGGTGAGTGAGTGAGTGTGTGAGTGGGTGAGTTAGTGAGTGAGTGGGTGAATGAGTGAGTGGGTGTATGAGTGGGTGAGTGAATGGGTGAGTGAATGAGTGAGTGAGTGGATGGGTTAGTGAGTGGGTGAATGAGCGAGTGGGTGTATGAGTGGGTGAGTGAGTGGGTGAGTTAGTGAGTGAGTAGATGAGTGAGTGGGTGAATGAGTGGGTTAGTGAGTGGGTGAGTGAGTGGGTGAATGAGTGGGTGAGTGTTTCTACTTCGCTACCATTTCGGTCACCCGTTTACCTTGTTGTACACTTCATGAGCATCGCCACTGGGAAGACAAAGGCGGTCGGTGGTGCTGCTGGAAACACCACGCAATCTTGCGCCGCGCCCTGGCGCTTTAATAGGTGCTCGCCAATATCCCTGGGTCCAGTGGTCTAATTCGACATTTGGATTCTTCACGGCGGACTCGAAGTTTCCTCCGGCGTTATTCGGGAAAGAAAAACAAAATAAAACGAGTGAGCCATTGTTTTCCGGCGTCACAGTCTACAATTTGTCCCGCATTGATGAATCACTCGCTAATTACTTAATTAGAGTGGGGGGGGGAATCCACGTGGCCACGTGTCTCCCCTAGCGGCAGACCCAAGTGCACTTTGCGTGCCCGCGCTGCGCCGCACAGGGGCAGCTGCCCCTGTGCGGCGGCGGGGTGGTGGGTGGGGGGTGGTGGTGGTGATGGTGGGGATAGCGGTGGTGGTGATGGTGGTGGTAGTGGTGATGGTGGTGGTAGTGATGGTGGTGGTAGTGGTGGTGGTGATGGTGGGGATAGCCGTGGTGGTGGTAGTGATGGTGGTAGTGATGGTGATGGTGGTGGTAGTGGTGGTGGTGATGGTGTTTGTCTCTCAACAGACCACAACGGTGAGAAAGACCACGGCAAGGGGCACGTTCTGAGCGACCTGGAAGACCTCGACGACGTCGATTCGGACCACCTGGGTGACGACGAGCTGGAGGAAGGTGGACACCTCCAAGCGAAGCGCTTCCACAAGTCCCAGTGCAAGAACTACCCACCGCTAGCGGTGGTGGACGCATCATCCATCAACACCTCCTCCATCGCTGCCTCCAACACATCCACCACGAACAACAACAACAACATCATCATCAGCGGCAGCGGAGGAGGAGGAGGCAGCGGCGTTCAACAGACTTCCGAAAGCATCAAAAGCGTGTTCGCTCTGAGTTGTGGCGAGCCACAAGACAATCTGCAACTTTACGACTCTACCGATCAGCAGCAGCATCAGCAACAACATCACCACCACCACCATCAGCACCATCACCAGCATCATCAGGCGGTCAGCGGTGGTGCCAAGTCGCTGTTGCCGATTGCGTCGGAGAAGCCACGGATTTGGTCTCTGGCCCACACGGTCTCCAGCTGCGACTCCAAATACCCATCGTGTGCAGCGCTTCAACAGTTGCAGCAACAGCAGCAACAGCAGCAGCAGTCGCCTCTGAGCGGCTCGCAGGCAACAGCAGGCACGCTGCTGCAGAGACACCAAAAGTTCCACGCAACCTTGTCGCAGTTGTCACCGCCGTGTTCCGAGCCCGTCGGCTCGTGGCGGCAAGTTGCCGCGGCCGCGTCACCCGAGCAACTTTTGTTGAAAGCAGCCGAACAGAACGGACTGGGCTCCTACCTTCTCGCTCAGCAGCAGCAGCAGCAGCAACAGCAGCAGCAGCTGCAGCAGCAACAACAGCTGCAGCAGCAGCAGCAGCAGCAACAGTTGGCACAGGTTCAGCACGGGCTATTGTCGAGGGCAAGTTGCCAAATGTCAGGACTGCACATGGGAGCTCAACAGCATCAAGAGTTGACTTCTGCCAAGAGCCAAGCGGCCGTCAATTCGCATCGACACTCCACGACGGATGTTGATGCGATTAGAAGTAAGATCCAGGGAACCGAGACGGGGTTTGCCTGGTCCGCGAGACCGTAGTCCTCCTCCTCTCCCCGCCACAGCGTGTGTTAAAGACGAGGGTCAACCGAATATACAACACGGGTTTTTTGGCCTTTTTGAGATCGCGTTAAAAAAACATATAACTGTGTCGTTAAACCCGCTACCACCCGACGCAGGCAATTGGTGTGATGTGTGTCAAGTAAGCGGAGCGTGGCCAATTCGTTACCGGCCATAATCCACGAAAATATTGTATTCAAGCGATCTAACCACGAAACTCCTATATTACGGACGATATTGGTCGCGAAAGCCGACTTCGTGTCACCCGTATAGCCTACGCAGATTGTTGGGGCAGAGTGCCTGAAGGCGATCGCTTTCAAAGTCGCGCCCGCAACGCAATGCGCGGCGGAAAAGCCATCGAGCGGAGTTCCGTTCATCGGCGAACATCGCTGGCGATTGTCCCAGCCGGTCCCGGGTACGCACGCAGGTTGAACTTCTTTTGCACCGTACGTAGCCGACCGAGCTAATGAGTACCTGGCAGAGGTCGCAACCGGGTACCCGATACCCGTACCCTACCCGATACCCGGCTACCCGTACACGGGTAGCCGTTTGCGACCCTGGTGCGGCCGGGTACGGGTACGGGTAGACCGTGAGTCACTGGTGAGTCACCGTTTGTCACTCATTTCGGGTAGGGTACGGGTACGGGTAGGGAACGGGTACCCGTACCCGGCCGGGTATGGGTACGGGTACCCATTTGCGACCCTGGTGCGGCCGGGTACGGGTACGGGTAAGGAATCAAAACTGTTTGCGACCTCTGGTACCTGGTGCCACGTGTACAATCACAATGCACTGGGGAGACAAAGGCGGCCGAGCGCTGTGGGGGCCACCACCACCACCTCCTCGTGTGCCGTGCCGGCCTTAATAGGTGCTCGCTAACAGCACTTGCCCTAACAGTCTGTTAAGGATATACGGGGGATCTTTGTATGTGTATGAGTGTGTGTGTAGGTCAAAGTTGCCTCAATGTCCGCCAATGTAGATTGTCCAATTGAAAGTGTTGTTAGCGAGCACCTAGTAAGAATAATATGCTATGTAGTGTGTAAGTGTGTCTGTGTGTTTATACGTGCGAGTGTGTGTGTGTCTGTGGGTGTGTGTGTGTGTACGTGTGTCTTTGTGTCGTGGTGTGCGTGTGTGTCTGTGTGTATGTGATGTGTGTAAACGTGTTTTTGTGTGTCAGTCCTGTTTGCGTTTGCGTGTTTGTCTTTGTTGTGTTTAAGTGTCACTGTTGTTTTTGTTGTGGGTGTGTGCGCGTGTGGTCTCATGTCTATCAGCGGTGTTCTGTGTGTATGGGATTGTGTTTGTGTATTTTTGTGCGTGTATCTTTGCTTGTGTGTGTATGTATGCATGTGTGTATCGTGGTGTGCGTTTGTCTTTGTGTATGGATGTGTATTTATGTTTGTCAGTGTTGATACGCTTGTGTACTCGTGTTGTGGGTTTGTACCCGTGTTTTTTGGGGCAAAGATCTGTAAAGGATTTAAGTGGGTATGTGTGTATATATATTACGTGTGTGTGTGTAAGCGTGTATGAACCTATCTTGGCCAACCCCTCGATCAACTCAGCCTAAAATGAGCATCACCTAGCGCTGTGGTGGTTAGTTACATGTGGTTGTGAACTGCGTTAGAGAGACAAAGGCGGTCGGGTAGTCAATACACAACACGTTAATTGAGTCAACCCTGAACCAATATTAGCAATGTGTGTCGTCAGGGCCTTTAATAGGTGCCCGCTAACAGCACTTGCCCCAAACAGTCTGTGTGGGCTACACGGGGGAGCTTTGTCTTTGTGTATCATTACAAGCCTTATAGGCATATCTTGGTGTATTGACATTCATACGTATATATATATACAAACATACGTTACTAATGTTTGCTAACAAAAAATAGTTAATCATTTTAATTTAAAATTAAAACTATGACGGATACGGCAGTTAACTTATGCTCCACTAGTTTTAATGATATTGTTCGACGAAATAAAATTCCTTTTTAAATATCTACGTGCCAATAATAGTAGCATTTGCAATCAAGCATACGATACCTATGTACATTTTTTAACACGGCGTGTACATAAACTCGACACAATATTATAGTGTGTATTAAACGTGTTTCTTTGTTACCGTATTCACATGATTATAAGTAACTCCGGAAATTAAGACGCATTTCCCCAAACTCGCTGTCAATACGGTAGTCGTACGAAACCTGGTCCTTAACACTCACACACACGCACACTTAGCGGATACTAAGACTCACTTAGCAGATAATAGGACTCACTCACTTAGCGGATAATGAGACTCACTCACTTAGCGGATAATGAGACTCACTCACTTAGCGGATAATGAGACTCACTCGCTTAGCGGATAATGAGACTCACTCACTTAGCGGATAATGAGACTCACTCACTTAGCGGATAATGAGACTCACTCAGTTAGCGGATAATGAGACTCACTCACATAGCGGATAATGAGACTCACTCACTTAGCGGATAATGAGACTCACTCACTTAGCGGATAATGAGACTCACTCGCTTAGCGGATAATAAGACTCACTCGCTTAGCGGATAATGAGACTCACTCACTTAGCGGATAATGAGACTCACTCACTTAGCGGATAATTAGACTCACTCGCTTAGCGGATAATGAGACTCACTCACTTAGCGGATAATAGGACTCACTCACTTAGTGGATAATGAGACTCACTCGCTTAGCGGATAATGAGACTCACTCACTTAGCGGATAGTGAGACACACTCGCTTAGCGGATAATGAGACTCACTCACTTAGTGGATAATGAGACACACTCGCTTAGTGGATAATGAGACTCACTCGCTTAGTGGATAATGAGACTCACTCACTTAGTGGATAATGAGACTCACTCGCTTAGCGGATAATGAGACTCACTCGCTTAGCGGATAATGAGACTCACTCGCTTAGCGGATAATGAGACTCACTCGCTTAGCGAATAATGAGACTCACTCACTTAGCGGATAATGAGACTCACTCACTTAGCGGATAATGAGACTCACTCACTTAGCGGATAATGAGACTCACTCACTTAGCGGATAATGAGACTCACTCACTTAGCGGATAATGAGACTCACTCACTTAGCGGATAATGAGACTCACTCGCTTAGCGGATAGTGAGACTCACTCACTTAGCGGATAGTGAGACACACTCGCTTAGCGGATAATGAGATTCACTCACTTAGTGGATAATGAGACTCACTCACTTAGCGGATAATGAGACTCACTCACTTAGCGGATAATGAGACTCACTCACTTAGCGGATAATGAGACTCACTCACTTAGTGGATAATGAGACTCACTCACTTAGCGGATAATGAGACTCACTCACTTAGCGGATAATGAGACTCACTCACTTAGTGGATAATGAGACTCACTCACTTAGTGGATAATGAGACTCACTCACTTAGCGGATAATGAGACTCACTCACTTAGCGGATAATGAGACTCACTCACTTAGCGGATAATGAGACTCACTCGCTTAGCGGATAATGAGACTCACTCACTTAGCGGATAATGAGACTCACTCACTTAGCGGATAATGAGACTCACTCACTTAGCGGATAATGAGACTCACTCACTTAGCGGATAGTGAGACTCACTCGCTTAGCGGATGAGACTCACTCGCTTAGCGGATAATGAGACTCACTCACTTAGCGGATAATGAGACTCACTCACTTAGTGGATAATGAGACTCACTCAGTTAGTTGATAATAGGACTCACACACATGCATTTATTGGATAATAAGAATCAAACGTCACGTTCGCTGTACTATATGGGGGCAAATGCGTCTTATAATCGAGACAAGACGGTTCTAATAGTCAAACCTGTAACCGCGAGCAGCAGATAACCTGCAAACACACAAATAGCTTTGTACTGCAATCATTATATATGGACGCGAAACGTCTGTTAAGACCCGATGTTGCTGTAAGATACATTTTAAAGGATCTTCTTCTCCTGCCTAATGTCAGGCGTGAATGGAAACGGTTAGAGGTGTTTGTTTTGAGGTTTTTTGTTGTTGCTGTTGTTATTGTTGGTGTCACGGTCTGCATCCCGAGGATGAAAGCGTGGAATGAGTATGCGTTGTTCCGATCTGTCAACGTGAAACGTGTCGGGCTAGAGCACGACAGCTCCCATAAGGATGATCAAATCGCGAACGAAACTTGAGCATTTCCAAAAGTTCCATTGCTAATTGTTTTTTTTTACCCTTTTATTTGGCAACAGAACTGACACCTTTTTTACAAGGAGTTATGTTTGCATAGACCACAATACCTGCAGTCATAATGCAAACAAAAAAACATAACTCGGATAATGTATGCACTGTCCTTGAAGTTGATTGGTCCACACCCGAGACAGCTTTCCTTAGAGCCTAGTCTCACATGGTGTTGGACCAGATGACGCCAAAAGGGCACAACTCAAAGACAATGCACTATCATCAGAGTATGAGAGCTCGGGGTAAGCATTTACACCATTGGTCTATGCAAACATGACTCCTTGTAAAAAAAAGGTGTCAGTTTTGTTGCCAGATCAAAGGGTAAAGAAAAACAATTATCATATTTTTTACTGGCAAATGAGGTTCCAATTGAGTTCCATCGCTGTTAGGGAATTGCATCTGGAAAAATATCGAGCCAAATTTTTCCAAGGGTTTCCAACAACAACAACAAAGTTGGGAAAACTTTCAAAGTCACCGCCTCCCGCGTGCCTCCCCTGCCGGCCGAGGTTCGCCCTGCCTGGCAGAGACGCTATCCGAGCACCAGTGTCTCGTAGCGGCCTACACGCTTCGTGCTAATTAATTATAGCTGCCCAACCCCTGATCAGTACCCTACCGTATTACAGACCAACTCAGACCGTATTGGTCACCCGCGTGCCCTTATACATCTCAACGTTCATCGTACAAAGTTCCATCACAAGGGAAAAACAAACATACATTTTCTTGATTCTTTCGGTAAAGTCACGTAGAAGGGAAGTAATAACATAATAAAAATAAAACATAATAAAATAATATTTTATTGTTTTATTTTTATTATTTTATTACTTCCCTTCTACGTGACTTTACCGAAAGAACCAAGAAGATGAATCCCTGCAGTCATGAAAGCTTTAAATTGAAACATACATTCTTTTTTTCCCGTATTGAAA